GCGTTCATCCTGACTATCTTTACGCATTTTCATACCCAATATTTATGACTGTCCTTTAAGTTATGCGTTTTTGGACTTATTGTGTCTTCTGTGGATGACACAGATTTTCCTGATTTGAAATGACATCAGCGGGCCTGACAAACCATTTAAATACACTTGATGCAGTGGAATATCACAGGAGCATTTCCAAAAATTATATTCACTAATTCATCAGAAAATATAATGGACTTAAACTAAATTAATTCCTAGCAAAATTTCTGAACATTCGCCCCTAGGCTTCATTACAAGTAAAGCCGGTCTTGACGTAAGTCGGGACACACGTGCTGTTACACTTTTCTAAACGGTACTCAGTTTGTATATAAGCAATCGTATGGCTTATGTAAACACAATTTAGTCATCTATCCTCTTTCCACCCACTGATAAATATTATGGCGATGTCCACACCGCACATTCCGCTACATTTCTCTTTACCCACCGACCATCCAGCCGTTGTATTTCACTTCCTCCGTTAAAGGGACGTCACTGCACAAGGAAGATATAGTACAATGAGAAGTGGCGCTAGCGAGTGCGAGCTTGCTACAGGAAAAGTCATCCACGTCGAATTGTTTCTTCACTCTGGCTTTAAAAATAGTCCGACCTGATCCAGATGACTCGTCCTGGTATAAAATTAGTCATTCTCGATGATTCTTTTCAGTTGTCTCGCATCTTCCAAATTGTGTATGCCACAGATTTTCACTATTTGTGAATGTGTTTCAGTGTGATATCACAGGATTCTGGGCTCTTATAACAGTCTATAAGACTAGGCGTTGGATGGACATGCATATATCGATTCGGCTATTCATTCCAAATGAGAATATATATTTACATATATAGTACGTACTTCATGGGGTCGGAAACATTTCTTTCTGGCGGTTACATATATACATGCATCTACACAAATCGAATAAGCCCCTATACTCTTTTAGTACCGGATATAATAGAATCATAGATGGTACTTAAAATATAAAGGGAACGTACTTTATCTGTTTATGCATTGGACTATTATTGTGCTCATTAAAATGATTCCATTAAAATACACAGTTTACACAGACCGTTATTTTTTATAAACTCAAAATTTAAAGCTTTTGAGTTAAAATTTGTTTTGTGTACATATTTTACGGTCCCAAGACCACCAACCAAGTTTTATATGATTTGGAGCACTATTTCAAATAGCTGTCATATAACCGATATGGCCGACTTGCAACGAGGTGTTAGATTACACTTCGGCAAGAGTGTATTAATAAATTTGACGAGTTCTTTCACTTTTTCCTTTATTAACATACATTATATGCTTGTCATTTAAATGTTTTTGAGTGATAGTATAAAACAGTGATAGGCACGAAAACTAACGGAAAGAGCCAGGAAGAAAAAACCAAAAAAAACAACCCCCGTCGCGACGCGTCGCAGCCATGAGCCAGACAGAATGGGCGAGAAAAGTGAATACACTTTGTTGTTGCTCTGATTTTCATGTGCGTAGCCCAAGACTCATGATGTGTTGTTGCAATCTCGAGATCGCGCCTTCGAAGGATTTTTGCCGTCTCTTTGACGCCAAATTTCTGTGGCATTGTTTTTGTAAAAATTCATGGATCGCTGAACGCGAGCGACGACCGTCTGAGCCGACTTGCTGGCACCTCCCGAAAAACCTTTTGGAAAGAGCCGCGGGAGCTGAAAGAGCCACGGCGTGCCCAACTCTGGTTTAAAATATATGCTGCTGTACTACGTCTTATGAGCGGTTGTTGTTGCTCCAAACGTCTCATTAATCTGCATATTTTGGTTAATAACTAGTCATTTAAAACTCTTTGCTAATATTTGCTATGTAAAAGTACTGATCCACGAAACACAACTAAATATCTTAAGGTCATTCTAAAACTACAAATAGACAAAACACGTCACAATTGGACAAAAACACAACATAGACACAAATATTTGTAAACTTCATTTTTAAATACCTGGACAATCGTTTTGCATAGCAATCCCTTTCACTTTTGTGGAAACTTTCGACAGAAAAAGCAATCAAAGTTGTAAAATTTAACCCGCCAATTTCATACAAAACATGTACAAAATCAGCTAACTTTAACAGCGCGCTAACAGACTATGGTTGCTCCACACGTTAAAGTTAAATGTTATTTTATCTAACTAGGGTGTGTAGAAATTAAAAATAAAACGAGAAGGAACGTGTGAGTCGCTTCTGGGGACGCGACTCTACTTATACCCGTACTCAGTCAGTATATACATTTTTGAGCATATGATTTTTTAGAATTTTAGAATTTAAAAATAAATTTTACATTTTACATTTTTTTGCTACATCTGATATCTACATCTACAATGTATATTCTACATCTAATATGTAGATTATACATGTACCATTTAGATTCTACATCTCCTCCGCTAGGGGTTGCTCGCGCACTGAACGCGGCAGAGTGTGCGAGCGAGAAAGAGAATCAGTAGCGTCAGCAACGCTGGAGAAAGAGAGGGAACCAACAGAAAATTAATTTCTTCATTCTGGCTATAATTATGATCCGATCTGATTCAGATTCGGCAGTCTCGTAGATATGGTCATTCTCTACGATACTGCGTTTTTAGTTTTATCGTATCTTTAAAAATGTGCCTGCCACAGATTTTCGTCCTTTGTGTGGGCGGAAGGGGGCGGGGCGAAATTTTGAAATACACTTGTAGCAGTGTGATATCACATGAGTCTGGAAACCAAATTTGGTTGCCCTAGCTCTTATAGTCTCTGAGATCTAGGCGTCAAACAAGACGGACGGACGGACGGACAGACAGACAGACAGACAGACAGACATGGCTATATCGACTCGGCTATTGATGCTGATCAAGAATATATATACTTTATGGTGTCGGAAACGTTTCCTTCTCTGCGTTCCACACATCCACTTTTACCACAAATCTAATATACCCCTTAACTCTTTTTGAGTACGGGTATAAAAATTGTAAATGACTTTATGCCCAAAAAAAACGGAAAAAAAACCACCACCAATGGCCAGATTTCTTTTGCTTGACAATTTTTACATCTAACGAATCCTTCTCATCTGGCAAGGCCAAAATTAATCTTTAATGAGTTTTCCATGCTTGTTTTTTGAAATCGTTAGTTAATTAACTATATTCGACCGTTTAACAGACAGAGAAATAGGGGACATAAAGCGGAAAAACGACGTCGCGCCCCTCACCACCTGATAACCTGTTTCTGATTGTCCGCAACTGTTCTTTATTCCGCTACATCTCTGCGTCTCTGCCCCCACCCACTTTTCTCACAACAACACCAGCAGTTATATCTCGATTTCCTCCGCAAGGAGGAGGCGCACACTGCACGAAGAAGAGTGTGTATGAGAGAGAGAGAGATTAAGTGCGTGGAAGGGGTAGCGTAGCCACGGAAGATTTTTTGTTTATTCTAGCAATATATTCAGATAACTAAATATAAAGCTATATGTATATATTGTATAGATTCAGAAATCTTTTAGGTGTGGTCTGATTACGAAATTGGCTTGCTAAAGCTCTTAAAGTCTCTGAGATCTCGGCTATTGATGCTTATCAAGAATATATACATACATATCTACTTTATGTGGCCGGAAACGTTCTTGTGCTTGTTCTTATGTTATGGGAAATTCCACTTGAAAACGGCTTAATCTAATGCAAAATCTGCGAGGCTGCGCCCTCTATAGTACCTGCAACGGAGAAATTTAATTCCACCACAAAACAATACTGTTTGAGTGTCGGGGGTGACAGACAAGATTTCACCAATTAAAAATATAGTAAATCTAACCAATGTTCGACTAGTCGGTACTCTATAAGTTTTGCATTTAAATTCTAAATTAACACATTTAATTGATAGCAAGGGAAATGAAGTAAACACGGTTCAATAAGATTTTGAAGAAAATGAAGACAGATAAATGTGTAATGAATCCCAGATTGCATGTACATAAGTGCACCATCTGATAACATCTAATTAAAGTGGTTCCAAAGATTCAGACTGGGGCTTTTTCGCTTGCAGACGCTGTTCAAGGAGGTCGCCCAAAATCTCCAACCAACGGGAAAAAAATGGAAAAGAATTGAAATTTTAAAATTTACCTTTCAAATATGTAGCCTGCTTGTAGCTCTAATTGCAGTAAATCACCAATCTTCATAGCTCAATATACAAACATTTTTTCTTAATACATAGATATGTATATGTAAATTACATGTGGGACTATGAATAATCCAGCAACACGATCCTTTTCCTCAAGGAACAAAACGAACTTTTTCTTAAAGATTTGGGGCTTAGAAATGGTTTGATGATATATTTTTTTTTTTATGGCGCTTTTTTTGTTTTTGAAACTGGTATTTTTTTGCTTTTTTCAGGGTAGCGCTTCCAGCCAGACACGGTTGAGCTTTCTTTTTGGGTATTAACAGCAGGAGCCCAACTGGTCACCGCTGGAAATAGGAGTTTTGTGCGACTTGCTTAAACTAGGGTGTCGAAAAAAAATTTCTTGTGCCCTATTAGGTGCGTTATTTGGTCGTTTAAGGTACGCTCAGTATCGCTAAGCTGTAACACAAAGGTTTGGGCTTACTAGCGTCATTTCAGCAAGCTTCGCACCCTGAAAAGCTTAAAAAAAACCCAAAAGCGGAAACCATAATTCTTTAAAAAATTTTAAATCCCCATATCTATCAGAAAAAGTCGGTTTGGATCCTTGAGGAAAAAAAAGTTCGATTTTGTCGAGTAGTGTAGTTAGAGGCAGTGTGACTTGCTAACTTTTCTCATTTAAAAAGTTTAAAAAATGGAAAGCGGCAAACCACCATAAAGATGGCATTTCTTATGTTGCACCTGATGTATTTAATTTTAAATTTGCGTCGACAATCCTTCCATCGGATTGTAAGTGTGAGGAATGTGTAGGTGACTAAATTATTTATTCATATTAATCAAAGTCATGTCATACCGTTTAACATGTTATTAAATTGTTTTTGCTTACCAGTCGTAATATTTTCCCGCTGTGGCTGTGAAACTGTCATTGACGGTTTGATTTGTGGTTTGTATGTTACATTGTATACATATTTTCTTTAGAGAATTTATGTACTTTGTTCTCGCTCCTTTCTCGACGTCAGCTGGGACTTTTATTTTACGTAAAGAACCGGGCTAAATGTCTGACCTCAAGTGATGGTCATTTAATCCAGGACGAATGACAATCGAATTGAAAACGGAATGGTATGATTGGGATGACTAAAAACCTAACATTGCTATAATGACACAAAATCTATACAATCCCTCAAAAAAATTATTTTTATTTGGCATGTCGCTCATTGCCACTTGCATCTGTAGTGTTTTATGTTAGTGTGGACCCACGATGAACGAGCTTGAAAGCCCAACAGTAACCGAAAAAAAATTGCACGACAAAAAAAAATTGATCTGCCTGATCTCTTGTAGATACTTTATTGCGCGTCGAGAGCCCAGACTCGAAGCTATCAATGTATTCCCCTACTTCTGCAGTGCTCTGCGTATACGTATACTGGCTGCTTACTTCGCACTTCGCACGTGTCCGTGTCCTACCGCTTTCGCTGGCTGTGGGCTCCTGGTGCTGCTGCCAAAAACAGAACTGCCTTCCTACTCCTGCGGGCTTCGACCTCGACCGTTTCGTGCAAGACCACGTACTTGAATGAGAGACGGAAAAAGCGACGGAGATGCAGGCAGGCGATGCACGAGGCCACACGATTCCACAACTACTGCGACAAGAGCATTGACAGCTTAGCGACAGCGCACCAACGACGGGACGATAACCACGACTACGGAAAATGAACGACACACGATGTGCACGACTACGCAGCCTCGACTAAACTAAAAGTGAACCCGTATTCTCTTACCGTCTGACAGAGGCACGTGGCTCGGCTGTCGCTTCATTCTGGTCCTAATAGTTGGCCAGAAGCGTAAGACCGTTTACAGTGGATGCTCGAATCCTGTTACGGCGAAGCCTGCCACTGTACACTGGGCTGTTACCGTTACTGTTACTGTTACCGTTCTGTTACGAAAAGTAAACAAATAAAATCATCAAAGCTTCCCCTTTCAGAATTAAAAGTGAACTTCGTCCCACATTTGATGATTTCCCCTTAGAACTGTTATACTGTTTTCTGCAGCTGTATAACATAAACATAGCTATATACATACATAGATAGAATGGAATGGAAAAGCTCGCTTAGCTTAGAATCCTCAGTACCATGAGAATCATTAATATAGAGTCCACATGGCCTTGCAGTTTTATGGGAAAGCCGTGCTAGTCGTGTCCAGATGATATCCATTCGAACAATGATGGTTGCAAAACTAACCATAAATGGTACAATTACTACCTACACACCATTGTTTACCCTAAAGCAAAGCTTTTAAATTGCACATAGTTATGTACAGCCACCGGAATATCTTGTACTCACCATAATTTAAGCTTTGAATAGCTGGCTTTTTATACCTTTTTATGTTTATAATTTATTCCAGTAGGCGATTATTTGGCGTCAGTTTTACGTTTGACAAAGACATCATGGCTTCATAGATAAAATTGTTTGGTTTGTCTTAAAATACTCACGGTAGGAATGGAATATCCATTGGGGAACTATATATGAATTTTATGGTTTTGGCTATCAAATAAATCTATAACGAAATCAGTTGTCCTAAAAAGCTCGTCTATAAAGCTCGTTTCAGCTAGTATTTTCTAAAGATTTTATATATTTCGGTGAAATGCAATCACACCTAGAAATAAAAAAGTCAAGCCATGCTTTCCGCTTTGGAGTGGGAGTGGGAGACACGACTGTAGCTAATTTGTTCATTTTTAGGTTGATCCCAAAAAATGTATTCCGTCCTGAAAACCACCGTGTTGATAACACACACAAACGATTCTCAAAGAACCGAACCGAATTTTTACGTTCAACTTGGGGCTTAACATTTTTTAATGATTTATTTTTTTACGGCAGAATTTTTCTTAAAGAATTCTAACAAATTTGAACTTTGTTTATGCTTTGTTTGGAGATAGCGCTTCGGTTTTTTACATTACTTAATTATCTTACATCTGGTTGAAATCATCTTTGCCATTTTGAAAAGATAATAGATCCAGCTCTAAATTGAATCTAAGCCCTTTTTTGTGTCAGCTTACCGTCTGGGAATTATTAAGCTTTCTTCAAATGCAATGATGATGATTTTAGTGCGGCATTTTTGTCAACTTTTCAACATTTTTTACTTTAAAAACTAAAGAAAATTAAAAAAAAAACGAGAAGGAACGTGTGTGTCGCTTCTGGGGACGCGACTCTACTTTTATACCCGTAATCAGTCAGTATATAAATTTTTCAGATTATGATTTATGTACAATTAAAAAAAAAAATTTTTACATTTGTTTGCTACATTTGTTATCTACATCTACAATGTATATTCTACATCGTACATGTAGATTATACATGTAGCATTTAGATTCTACATCTCCTCCGCTAGAGGGTGCTCGCATACATAACGAGGTAGAGTGTGCGAGCGAGAAAGAAAATAAGTAGCGGGTCTCTTGCTGGAGGAGGCGGGGGAAGCAACTGAAAATTAATTTCTTCATTCTGGCTATAATTATGATCCGATCTGATTCAGATTCACTCGGCAGTCTGGTAGATATGGTCATTCTCTATCATACTGCGTATAGTTTTCTGGTATCTTCAAAATTTTGGCTGCCACAGATTTTCGTCCTTTGTGGTGGCAGAAGGGGCCGGGGCGAAATTTTCAAATTGATATCACATGAGTGTAGAAACAAAATTTGATTGCTCTAGCTCTTATAGTCTCTAAGATATAGGCGCTCATCAAGACGGACAGACGGACATGGATATATCGACTCGGCTATTGATGCTGATCAAGAATATATATACTTTATGGGGTCGGAAACGTTTTCCTTCTCTGCGTTACCCACATCCCCTTTTACCACAAATCTAATATACCCCTTTACTATTTTTGAGTACGGCTGTAAAAATTTAATCTTTCGGAAAAAGTCGGTTCTGTTCGAAGCGTAATTAAAAAGTTAAATTTTTTCGATGATTGTAATTTTGCGAAAAGTAAGACAAGATAAATATTGTAATTTTGTTAAATGTACAATAAAGTTTTTTGAACACATACATTTTCAAATAAATATTTCAATTTACCTCATGACCCAATACCAATATTATTAACTGTCTCTTCGAAAGATACTGATGAGCGAGAGGAGGCAAAAATATAATATAACTGGAATAAAAACTTCCAGTTCAATAGATTGGGAAAAATAAAAGCTTAGAGAACCACTAATGAAAATAAAGTATAGAACCTCGCGAACTTGATTTAATCAGGTACTAATTTCCTACAATTTGAGAATTTTACTCGAAACACTTTAGCTGTGGAAATATGCGTCAAGCTAGTGACAGATGGGTTCATTCCTTTTCTCTTTTCCATTTGTGTGGCCTCAAAAGCTTCAGGTTTCGAGCCAAGACACTTCTCGAGTATTTTATTGTTCCGACGGTAAAGCTTTTAGGCTTTGCTGTGATACCGTGCACAGTAAAAAGCAAATGGCGAAGTGATGGTGGAATTCATTCGCATACGACACAAACCACTGCGAGGGTTGATAGATATTTCTTTCCAATAAGCAAATGACTACATTTTTATGTCCAGTGTTCACAGCAGTTCCATCAAATCCATTTGCCACAAGAGAAGAACGATCCAATTGTGTCTGCTTTTCCCGAATCAATGGAAAGATGACCGATGTACTCTGAACCCGGCTCAGATATTAATGATGCATATGTACATGTATGTACTTGCATACAGCTGTGTCATGGAAATACCGCATCTTATCACACTCAAATCTATTTTTGAAAAATGTTTAGTCTGCTGTTTATTAAGAAAATCGAAAAAAGCATCGAAACTTAAATTAAAACCTACATATGTTACATGTTCTACATATTTCGTGAGGCCTAACACAGGCCGGGCATGGTTCAATAAGGTCCTGCCAACGCTTCAAAAGGATTTTAGCCAATAGTTATTGAACCTCTTGCCAAAACTTTTGTCTGGTTTTTACAGTTGCTACAATGCATTCGACATATCCCTATAAGATTTCCACTGACTAAGCTGTCGATCTTTTCCGATCTTTTAGAATACAATTTTATTAGCATCATTCAAAAGTATTTGTGTCACTGTGACACAGGCCATTCCACATGCGTTTAAATACCCGTACTCAAAAAGAGTAAAGAGGTGTATTAGATTTGTGGTAAAATTGAATGTGAGTAACGCAGAGGGTCGCAGTGGTCGTTTCCGACCACATAAAGAATTTATATTCTTGATCAACATCAATAGCCGAGTCGATAAAGCCATGTCTGTCCGTCCGTCCGTCTGTCCGTCTCGATGAGCGCATAGTTCTCAGAGACTATAACAGCTAGAGAAAAAATAAATTTTGTTTACAGACTTATGTGATATCACACTGCTACAAGTGTATTTCAAAATTTTACTCCGCCCCTTTCGCTGCCACAAAGAACGAAAATCTGTGGCAGCCACAATTTTAAAGATACCAGAGAAGTAAAAGCGTATTATCGTAGAGAATGACCATATCTACCAGATTGCCGAATCTGCATCATATCGCATCATTATTATAGCCAGAGCCAATAAATTAATTGGCAGTGGCTACCCCCACCTCCTCCGGCGCTGCTGACACTACTTATTCTCTTTCTCGCTCGCACACACTCTGCCCTTAGCAATGCGCGACCTTTCGCGGAGAAGATGTATAATCTACATTGTGTATATATAATCTACATTTTGAATGTGGAATCGACATTGTAGATGTAGATAACAGAAGTAACAAAAAAAATGTAAACTATTTTAAAGTTCCAAAAAAGTCATAATCTCACGAATCTATATACTGACTGAGTACGGGTATAAAAGAAGAGTCGCGTCCACAGAAGCAACTCACATGTTCCTTCTCGTTCTATCTTGGTTTTAAGGAATCGAAAAATGAAAACCGCATTAAAATATTTTACACAAAAAAACATAACATTAATGCCAACATTTTTTACTTTTTCCCATAGTGCACTAGCCGCTAGAAAATATATGACACTTCAAAAAATGTCATATCTAAAAAAAAGGGGTATTTTGAAACATATATGTGGCAGTGTGATATCACATGATCCTGGAAACAAAATTTGGATACTCTAGCGTTTATAGTCTCCGAGATGTGGGCGACAAACATGACGGACGGACGGACTGACAGACGGACGGACAGACAGACATGGATATATCGATTCGGCTATTGATGCTGATCAAGAATATATATACTTTATGGGGTCGGAAACGTTTCCTTCTCTGCGTTGTACACATCCAATCTTACCTAAATACAATATACCCCTTAATTTTTTTTCATTACGGTTATAATAAAACTAATTTTAGAACATTTTTACGGAATACCATTACCATTTTTTGCGCGCTTTTAAAGTCAGCTGATTCAGTGGTGCTTTAAGTTGTAAAAAAAAGTTGGAACACATTGAAAAACTTGCAGCTTGAATGTTAACTCGATCCAAAATATTAACTGAATGTGTAAATATGGAAAAAGCAGGTCACGCTATGTAGATTTATTGTTAATACATGTTTTTGGATAGTTATGTGTTTATATTGAATTGCCCAAGTGTGGTTCGAGTGTATTTTCAGCTGTATACCAACAAAAATACGTGTGTTCTGTATAATATTACTTTTGTACAGCACAACCAGTCACTAATGTTTAAGTTAGCTGTTTTTAGCCAATTAATATAAAATCAAATGGTATTAATGCTTAATAGCCTTTTCCCACACAGCACATCTATGAGGAACGATGGGAATTTTTGACAGATGGGAAACTCCGATTACCACTGACACCATCAGCCATCCACCATCCATGAAAAATAGCTGATGCACACAATTTGGTGCGACGGAAAATTGTTTTCTTTTATAATTTAAATTAATATTAATATTTTTGCAATGGTTGTGAATTTGATTCAGCACCAAAATATATTCTTGCACAATCTAATCATATTGCTGGACATGGATAATGATAATAACGTGGTCAACATTGACGAGGATAATTTTTTGGAATGGATTTGATTTGAAAACACTGAAGCGTAGTCATTTGTGACTGCTTATACTAAATTCAATCAATGTTATAAATACAATTATATATTCTATGTTTTATAAGAAGCGGTTTGGGAGGAAGATGTACCCGAAAACAACGAGGAGTTTTTTAAGGAAAGTTGTATAGCCATAGCATTGCATACTTTGGGTTCTTTTTCTGAGTACAGAACAGTCGGCTGTCAGCAAACAGCGTGTGCAATATACTATGAGTTTTGCAGAGCATTCATAAAAGAATTCCCAGAGGATAGTCAACAAACCCAGTTTTACTGCCTGAGACAATTCTGACATATCAGATGTTTTTACCATTTTCCTGTCTGTCATTGTTTACATTTTCGTAGTGAATTCCGATTTTTTGTTGTGAGTGTCAAATATTTATGGTTGCATTTAACAATAATCGAAAAAATACCGCACAGAAACGTGAGAATTAGGAACATCCCAGATGGATGGTGGAATAACTGGGAAATTTTCGGAACGGCAAAAATTTACGGACCACCCCCGAAATGGATGCTGGCCTGTGGAAATATGCTATAAGGACCGTTTTTGCAAATTTTGTAAATTCGGATTTGACAAATAAAATATCGATATCAATATCGGCCAGGGGTAAAAATGTCGTCTGTTCTTAGTTTACCCACTTTTTGTTTTTTTTTGGATAATATGATGCGATTGCCAACGCAAAAATATTTTCATTTCCAAATCAAATAAAGATGTTTTCGAGATATCTATTGCAAAACAATTTGGGAATGAAACACTATCGAAAGCAAAGGCTTAAAGGTTTTTTAATCTGATTCTGACATTAATAGGCTGTTTACATTGGGACTGCGTCATGCTTCTTTGCGTCTTGGCGAAGACGCAGTTTTTTTTACATAGGTTAATACTCTCTGCACACTGAGTCCATCCTGGGGGAACGGTGGGAAATTTTGAAATATGTGAAACACCGATTCACATTGACACCATCCACCATCCATGAGAAACAGCTGTTGCTCACAATTGCGTGAGGTGAAAATTTGTTTACTTTAATTAAAATGACTATAAATAACATTTCAATGGTTGTGAATGTGATTCAGCAGCAAAACATATTCTTGCACAAGCTAATCATGTTGTTGGACATGGACGATGATGATGAAAATAACTTTGACGAGGAGGAGATAATAGAATGGATATCTGTTTTGAAAACACTGAAGCCCGGAAGGTTGTGGTCATTTGTGAGTGCTTCTAATAAATGCAACCAATGTTTAAAGTACAAATATATATGTTATGTCAGAAGCAGTTCGGTACATTTTGGGAGAAGGATGTACCCGAAAACAACGAGGCGTTTTTTAAGGAAAGTTTTAGGATGGAGAGATCCTGCTTTTCTCTGTTGGTTACTCGCTTGGAAGTGCTACGGAAGAAGGACACAAACTGCCGAGCTGCAATTCCTCTGGAGAAGCGTATCGCCATATCTTTTTATACTTTGGGATCTTCTTCTGAAAAGAGTGTTTTTCGGAGTGTCAGCCAACAGCGTCTGCAATATCCTGCATGAGTTTTGCAGAGCATTCATCAACGAATTCTCAGAGGAATACATGTCCAAAAACTATCTCACTTCAGAGAAAATTGACGAGTGTGTCCAAGCATTTGAAGAAATTGGGTTTCCTCAGTGCCTGGTGCAATTGGTAATAATGCAATAAAATCATCCATAATATATGTATATACATATATGTAAATTAATTTCATCACTTAATTTTTTCTGTTAGATGGATGTCACATCGAAATAAAACCACCTGCAGCTGATATTTGATATTTTTTTATATTTTGCGTGCTTTGTGAGATCTGATGGGGTTATTTTGTTTTGTTTTTATATTTTCCTGTCTGTCATTGTTTACATTTTCGTAGTGATCTCCGATTTTTTGTTGTGAAATATGGTTGCATTTGACAATTATCGAAAAAATACCGCACTGAAATGTGAGAATTAGTAACATCCCAGATGGATGGTGGAATAACTGGGAAATTTTCGGAACGGCAAAACCTTACGGACCATCCCAGAAATGGATGGTGGATGGTCCCCAGTGTGAACAGGCTATAAAAGCATAGGGCCCTAGTGGTGGCAAAAAGTGGCGTCGGTCTCTGATTCATGTGCGTCTATTCGATATATTCGATTGCTTTTGCGCTTAACTGCACATTTTCTGCACTTTTCTGCCTATCAGCGCAACTATCACCTCTAAGAACAACAGAAACTTGTAGTTAAAAAATCAAATTTTGGCGCTAAAATGAATGGTTGTGCAAAAAGGTGAAAATATACATAAAATCATGAAATAAAATACTTGAAACTGATTGTATTATTATCATACGACATTTTTGTGATACCCTGATGCCATTATGACACTGCTGGAGACGAACTTCGATGGTTTTCATAATTTTAAGAAGAACTCCCACAAGCTCTACAAAGAAATGTCTGAAAATAATAAATAAATATAAGAATCAATTCTCTTTCGTCCATTTTCTTGTCGTCTTGCATAATTTGTTGATTTCTCAAAATTTGTTTACTTTCCTTGTCATCAAGCACCCAAATCAAAATTCAAGATGCACGTCTGCCAATGTAAACGCCTTTTCTGCTTCATTGCGTCTATTCCGATATCGATGGCAGACGCGCCCAGTGTAAAAAGGCTATTATTCTACACTGGTATGCCATAGAAATCACCCATTCGATATATCGACTAAATGGGGACTTCGTGAATTTCCTAGTGCGTTTGGATCTGCTTTCGATATGTGCGTGGTTTATTTTGGCGATCAAGGTGCGGTCACTCTTTCAGCTATTCATATTTTTTTCTTATTGGCATATATTTCGAAGTGCTTGCTGTCCGTCTTTAAAGTCGTGCATAGGTACAGTGAACAAGAAAATACCTAACTCGTAACGAAATTAATAGATATCTTAGACAAACTCCCAGTATCTAAATCTTCCAACACTAATTTCCATCATTGGTAAGGCTGGACAAATAATTTCCACATTTCAGCAACAGAAGTGTACGTTTTTGACTGTAAACCATCCAGACTACTTTCCAAATTGTTCCCAGATCAATATGTCGGACAGCGATGATGATAGTGAAGTGTCCTTTAAAACGGCTGAGGAGACCAGCCCGTCGCGTGGGAAAACAATTTTTCCTATAACGAGCCATGAGTTGAGCTCGCTGGAGACAAAGCTTAACCGAATCGTATACATACAGCAGGCGGACGCTGTTTATCATAAGGCGATAAGCGATATGCGAAATCAGATGAGCATATCTTTGGTGGCGGAGCCTAGTTTCTATGGACGCCACAGACCTGTAGCGGTGCTAGTGGTGGCTACAACAAATCAGACATATGTGTTCGATATCCAGGCACTGGGCGCCATTTTTCCTGAGCTGGTAAAGCTGCTGGAGGCTGAACATCCGAGAAAAGTGGTGCACTATAGTCATCGTATTGCCGATCAGCTTCTCTATAAGCACCGAATTAATCTGAAGGGAGTGAGCGACACTTTTGTGGCTCTGTGCGTGGCCCGGCAGGATAGAAGTCCCTTTTTATTGCAAGAAGCGATTTCGTCAGTGTTTAATATTCCTTTAATCGAACTGCTGTGCGAAGAGGTCACCGGGGTGAGTGCCAAATACCAAAGAGAAAGCGTTTATTATCCGATTCCGTATTGCAGGTAAGAGAGTCGCGTAAACTCTTCACAGCACGCCCGTTGAGCGTGGGCCAGTTGCGTTTTCTGGGCAGGATGGCCATACTGCAGAACCAAATGCACGATCGGCTAATCTTTGGCAACATTTGTGCTGGGATGCAACGCATGTCTGCTACATTTAGTCAAAGCTTCTGCCGTTTTCGAAATGGGTCTGATGTGGCGATGTATATGGGTCCGAAAAGTCGATTTGGCTTCCAATGCATCGATCCGTACTACAATTCATGCGCAGACTTTCTGCCTCTGCCAGAGGCCAATTTAATTAATCATCCAAAAAAAAAAGGAAATAATTAAATTTTCGTTGTAGAAATAGGTTCCCTGGACTAGAATCGGGATAGAAGAGAACTTACTTTAAGAATTAAGGCATCATGAAATACTACAGGATAACTAGATATCCAAGCTTCCGAACTTGAGTAAAATTTGATGATTGGTCTAATGTTACCATTGAACAACAAGCCTACAATTGGCACAATTTTTCCAAAAGATGAATAATATTATAAATTATCAGTTTTACAATTCATTTTGTTTCATGAATAGTTATATAAATTATATTATATTAATATAATTTCTATCTGTTCTCGCCTGATTTCTTCATTTGAATACATATTTTTGATATATGAAGTGATCAGAATTTTTACAGCTATTTAAAAAATAAAGACAAAAACGAAGAAGAATCAAAACAAATAGTTGAAACGGGAAATAATAACTTTAAGGAGGATATTGGGTTGGAGGCATCCGCAATGATCGCAATGGACATCAGCGGAACGGAGATCAGGAAGGTGATTTTGATGATAACACTGTCGACAAAATCTAACTTTTTTTTTCCTCAAGGATCCAAACCGACTTTTTCTAATAGATATGGGGCTTTAAATTTTTTTTAAGAATAATGGTTTTTTTTTTCTGTTAGAACTTTTTTTTGAAGAATTTTTGAAGTCTGGTATTTTTTTTAAAGCTTTTTTCAGAGCTAGCGCTTGTTTTGTTCACATAACTCTAGTATCTTACGTCTGGTTGCTATTGCTATTTTGAAAAGATAATTGAAACAGCTAGAAGTTAAGCCCAAACACTTTGTGATTTCAGCTTACCTTCTGGGAAATATAAAGTATTGAAATGCAAAAATGATGATTTTTGTGCTGTATTTTTTACGAAATTTTTACTTTAAAAACTCAGGAAAAGTCGAAAAAAAATTATATCCTGTGTCCTCTATTTTTTTGTGTATAGGTGCATTAATTTGGCGTCGTTTAAGTCTATGGAGAGACTTTGGAGCTAAAATTCGTTAACCAAACCTAAAATATGGAAAAAATTAACAAAACATTTTTGCATTTCAATGCTTTATATTTCTCAGACAGTAAGCTGAAATCACAAAGTGTTTAGGCTTAACTTCTAGCTGTTTTAAATGTCTTTTCAAAATAGCAAAGTTCTTTACAACCAGACGTAAGATACTAGGGTTATGTGAAAAAAACAATCGCTACCTCTGAAAAAGGGTTAAAAAAAAAATACCAGTTTTCAAAAATTCTTTAAAAAAAGTTCTGCCATAGAAAAAAAAAAAAATCATCAAACCATTTCTAAGCCCCAAATCTTTAAGAAAAAGTTCGTTTTGTTCCTTGGGGAAAAATCGTGTTGACTAGTGTAATTAGACTCTAGATGATAAAATAAATTTACTCCCCGTATTCCATTGCACTTCCCATCACTATCTCTCTAAGCAGAAATCTTTCCAAGCTATCGGCACGAATGCGAGTGTATGTTACGTTTCACGTGTTGTCTGCAGTTTTCAGCATTCAGTATGGGTGCGCAAAACGAAACGAATGAGATGGCAGACATGAGAATATACCGTTTTCTCTTCGTCTTCTTTCTCTTCGTCTGTTCTTTCTGGTTATGGATGTGTGCAATGCAGAGAAGGAAACGTTTCCGACCCTATAAATTATATATATTCTAGATCAGCATCAATAGCCGAATCAATATAGACATGTCTGTCTGTCCGTCCTTCCGTCTTGACAGCGCCTAGATCTCAGAGACTTTAAAAGCTAGAGTAACAAAATTTTGCTTCCAGACTCATATAATATCACACTGCTACAAGTGTATTTACAAATTTCTCTACGCCCCCTTCCGCCCCACAAAGGACGAAAATCTGTGGCATCCACAGTTTTGAAGAAACGAAAAAAAACTAAAAACGCAGGACCGTAGAGAATGATCATATCTACCAGAATCTGAATCAGATCGGATCATTATAGCCAAAATGAAGATGGTTTCCCTCACCTCCTCCAGGACGAGACCACGCTTTCTCGCTCGCACACTCTGTTTCGTTCAGTGCGCAAGCGCCCTCTAGCGGAGGAGATGTAGAATCTAAATTTAAAATGGAGAATATACATTGTAGATGTAGATGACATTAGTAGCAAAACAAATGTAAAAATATAAAAATTTTCAAATTCTACTTAAAGCATAAGCTCACATACTTATTTACTGGCTGATAACGGATATAAAAGTAGAGTCGCGTCTACAGAAGCGACTCACGTTCCTTCTCATTTTTTTTTTAATTTAAAAGAAACTCTAAATTATATAATGATATTTTTTGCAAGGTAACGTGTCAAACGGAAAAACTTGGGATATATTAAGCTTTTAAATGCACATTAAATAATAATTTCTTAGAAATTCTCTGAATAAAAAACTAACTGACCTAATGGGATGGCGAGGAGTGTATGTATATTGTATACAAAATATATATGCAAGTATATAATTAAATGCATGAACAGTTAAAATGCGTGTCATTAATACTTAGGTTTCAAAGCAGCTTGTACCTTTAGTTATAGGGTATAAAAATGTCCATACCTTCATACCTACGTTGTTCACTGTACATTTTTGTTGATCTTTTTTGCGTAAACCTTATTTTGTAAACAAGTCAATAAAAGGGAACTAAAATTAGCCAATCTTGCGGAAAATTTATTCATCCATCTGATAAAATTATGTGTTTAGTGCTGAAGGTCCTAGCTAGCTAATAATATTAAACCGAATATCAAAATAGAGGAATATGATTGCCGAGCAACAAAGAAAAACGCAACCCATTGTCGACCACGAAAGTTATGAAACTTGAAGAATGCTATCGCAGTTCAGGTACGTTCACCCATTTAAATAGAGGGGGTTTTTGTGGGTTAAGCTCGTTTACTCACTCCTGATGTCTGGTACTAGGAAACTACTGTCTCGGTTTTTTTAATATATTCACGAAATTGTTCATTTTACTGGTACAAATAAAAGGTATCGGGACCGGGATAAATGCATATACAAAACACAAACCAAATGCATGAATAGGTAATAAACATGTCAATTGAGACAAATTCAATATTAAAGCTTTAAAGCAGCTTGCAACAACAAATTTACCATTAATTAAAGGAAATAGGGTATACAAATGTCCATAAGCATAGCAGAAACCTGTCGACCAGCGGCAATGATTTCACATTCCGTACACACTTACGTTTTATGTTTTGTCGTGTTTTGTTTGAATGCTATTTTGTAAACAATTCTAAAAATAGGAGTCCTTAAAATTATCCAATCCCGTGGAAAATTGATTCATAAATCGGATAAAATTATATGTTCAGTGCCGATAGTCTTAGCTGACTAGCAATATGAAACCGAATTTCAAAATCGAGTAATATGAGTTCCGATCATGGACAGAGACCGACTAACCCATTGTCGACCAGTGGGTATTTTGATTTAAAGCCTAGTACTCAGATCGAAAACGAGAAGGAACGTGTGAGTCGCTTCTGGGGACGCGACTCTACTTATACCCGTACCACTAACCATACAGTACTGTATGGCTAGTGACTCAGATCAACAAAAAAAAATGTTTGGAAAAGTATCCGAAGTCTTTGCTTGTTTTTTTGGTACATATGTTTAGATCCACCTCACCTCGAAAATTATATTAATTTTATATATATTTTGCCAGCAAACACGAAGCAAACATTGCAATAAGAGTACACAAAACCAAATGAAATATTTTATTAATGAAGACAAATATAATCTAATTAATGCAGTGTTATATGAATGACAATTATATGGATATTATAATTTATTATTTTTTATTAATTTTCATATATATATAAAACAAATATTGTTCTCAAAAAATTTTTTATTCACGGTGGTCGGCACGGGAGGCGTCGTCATCTGCTGCTGCTGATAGTCAGACACATTACCTTGCCAATAAAATGTTGGGAAGCCCAGGATGTGACTGGGAAAGAGCTGCACTATGGGGAAAATTCCCATTTTTCGGATATTTTGTCATTTTCTCAAAGTATTAAAATTGGTTGTTTTTTTTGGTAACATCTTAAGAAAACTTCAAACTATAAAGTCCAATACCAAAAATGTTATATAACAGAACAATGTTAAGTCTAGCAGCTGTTAAAGTCAGCTGTTGCTGTAGAAAAGGACTTGCTTTAAGATTACAATATTTTTGTAGCCTATTTTCAAATTGCCCCATTTTGTGAAATTTTCCCCAATAGTGTCGCTGTGAAGAATTTATGGGACATTTGTTTGTTGTACCAACAAGATATCTTGTTTGGGGCCACTTGAAACATTTTTTACTCATTTCCGGTGAAAGATATCGTGGTAATAATTTTTTGTAAGTAAAGAGGAAGGATGGATCTACAAGAAGAATAGACAAACAGTATTCTTTTGCGCGGCTTAACTTGAGCTGTTCCCCTGCTTAAATAAAGGGGGCTCTAGTGGGCTAAGTCCTTTTTTATTCGGTTTTTTTTTTTAAATGATAAGGTATATTTCTGAGGGTCAGACGGTATATTTGATCGGTAATTGCGCGGTCACACTGGTTGCGGGTATAAGCCGCGATCGTTGATCTCACGATAAAATTTTCGGCCGCGCACAATGAAACAACTGAAAATAGTGTCGAATTTTTTCTAAATTCAGAAAAGTTGTTCCGTTGATATAAAGAATATCATTTAATTTTATATATTCGATTATTCCGATTATATATCATATCGAGTTAAGCGCAACGATCGACGCGTGTTCCTTGCATTGCATTTTTTTTTATCGTTTCTGCTGTTTTTTTTGTGTTTTTATTATTTTTTGTGTTGCTTAAATTGTGAGTTTCCCCACCCACGCACACGCAACATTATTGCGTGCCGTCACGCAGCAACAACAAGTTTGCTGCATGTTTAAGTTGCGCGCGTCGCGCCAGCTGCAGACTGCAGATTGCAGATGTTTGTTTTTCTATTGTTTATTGTGAAATTGTCCGGATCGGGAAGAAGAAGCAGAGTTTTCCATGAATGTTGTTAATTTTTGGATTGTCTGCCGTACTGCCACTCCCCGAATAAGCTTAACCAGCTTCCACTTTTTGGATACCGGATCCGAGGTATGTATGTACATACATAGGTTTGATGTGCACGGTTGTGGGATCTTGCGGGTAGTTTTGTCGTGTTTGGTCGCATTGTTTCATGTCGTGACAGATATGTACATATGTATGTACGTAGCTCTGCCAGCTACTGCGTGACCATTGTCACACGTGCCTTTCATGGGCAACGAGAACTTTCACTTTAGCGGGAGGGGAAAAGCGCAGCTAAACGATTCGGAACCCATTTCAGCTGGAAGCCCCTATACCGAAAATCCGCACACTCTTGCGCTACCTGCTGGTCACAGGTACTTTCCCCTCCTTAGCACATTTTCGGGTCATGCATTGCTGCTGTCTGCTCTTTACCACAGGTAGGTGAACGGAGAGCATCAGCTGTTTCACAACGTACCCTCTTAAATTGTTTGGCTGTTTTTGTAGCTTCTTGTTCCATTCCTTTCGTCCTCTGTCCACGGGTCTACAGCCCTTGCGCTACACGTACGGTGCTTCACAACAGTTATCGACACCAATACAACTGTCGTCTATTGTTCGAATTATGTACGGCAAGACATGTGAATGCATGTGTTTCGACCACTGCTGTAATGAAATCTGCCTGTCTATAATCAGAACCTACTGTGCTTCCCCAGTCGGACTTGGCTAGTTCCAAGAAGCAAATCTGGCATGATTCCTTTTCCACTAAGAAGTTGTCACTTCCATTTAGGTAAGGCCGATCGTCGTCTGATCATTGCCTCGCACTCTTCACTCTGTACGTGTGCACCGTATCTGTGTCCCACTTTGTGAGGCTTCACTGTGGCCCCTATTCTTCTATTCTTCTATTCTATTCTGCACAGCGAGCTACATTGCACCGGTGGCCCACTGCCATTCCCGTAGGCGGTCCAACCCTCCAATCGCTGCCACGTACACAATCCGACGGATAGCACCACTATTTATCATATTGCTGCGGTCCTAGGTGTACGGGGCCACCATAGCGTCGGCCGGCGGGGGCGCTCTGGGACGCTATACCCGCCAGAGAATACATTGTATTTTTTATATTTTTTACATTTTTTTTCAACACCCCGCCCGCGGGAGCGGGGGAGTTGCGTTGTCGTTGTCAGGAGTGGGCAGGGGAAGCGACTGAAAATTTCTTCATTCTGGCTATAATTATGATCCGATCTGATTCAGATTCGGCAGTCTGGTAGATATGGGCATTCTCTACGATAATGCGTTTTTAGTTTTATCGTATCTTTAAAAATGTGCCTGCCACAGATTTTCGTTCTTTGTGGGGGCGGAAGGGGGCGGGGCGAAATTTTGAAATACACTTGTAGCAGTGTGATATCACATGAGTCTGGAAACCAAATTTGGTTGCCCTAGCTTTTATAGTCTCTGAGATCCAGGCGCTCAACAAGACGGACAGACGGCCAGACGGCCAGACGGACATGGCTATTTCAACTCGGCTATTGGTGCTGATCAAGAATATATATACTTTATGGGGTCGGAACGTTTCCTTCTCTGCGTTACACACATCCACTTTTACCATAAATTTAATATTCCCATTAACTCTTCGAGTACGGCTATAAAAAGTGTGCAAAGTTTGACATTTTGTATGTTCAAAATTAACCTTTGAAATTCAATTAACAAATAACTATGTCCGACCGACAAATACATTCTGCACGTAAATTCTTGACAAATCGCGGTAAAATATCGGTTTTTGGAGCATAGGCCTGTTTATCGAACATTTAGCGTCGATCCACACCAGATATCGCCCAATAGAATCATCAGGATGGAATTCCTGTGGAGGAAGAGGCGATGGAGGACGCATTTCAATTAACAGAATTCGTTATATGTAAAACTAATTTTATTTTATTTCCATTAAGGGAGCTTGAGGACGCCGTTTTGAAACTTCGCACTGGGCGAACATTTTCCTTGGCACGGCCCTGCCTGTTAGTGGTTTCAATTATAAGTATGTCAATGCATCATAAGTCTTTTTCTTTCCTTTTGCATTTAAGACTCATATCATTGTATTAAAATCCGTTTCCTCGGAGATGAAAATGTTTCCGTTTTGAAATGCGTTTTGGGAATACGGGACCATCAAACATTCCATTTTCAAAAGTAAATCCGAAAGTTTTTGCGAAAGTGAAAACCGGAGAGTGCCGGATAGTACTCAGACTCAGGATCAGCATGTCGTCCCAGTCGACGTTTACGGATCGTGATATTATTTCACCTAGAAAATGCAAAAGGATAAAAGGTTGCTTTTCTATTAATGGCATATTTTCCAGTATATACCAGTGTATATTCGATCCGACTGATATCCTTACATGGAAAACGCAAGCACTAACATATCTGCCCAAAAATATAATGACGTCTGGATCCGGGTAATCTCTTTGGGAACGGCTAATTAACGCTCATCTTTTGTTGCTCAGAAGAGCAGCTTATGCGACAGACATGTATTGGTCTGCCCGCGCTTAATGCATGTGTACATACATACATATGTATATGTATACAGTTAGAGAAACCAGTTACATCAAAAATTGTTTCGGTGGCTTTTAGTGCAGTGTTTGTATGGGGATATGTTGGCTATGGGATGATTGTAGAATATGGGTAGAAGAGTGAATTACTTATGATAGTGTTAGACTGAAAGTTTTTCGGGGGTTTACCGGCTCCTCGTAAAAGGGAAAAATAAGGGAAATAATAATCTAGTAGGTGAAGCCCACCAGCGTTGGGCGAAACGACTCGAAAAATGTAGAAAAGTAAAAGCCAGTCGGATTAAATTGGAATTTATGCCCAAACACACTCGTGGAATCTGTAATGACACCTTCCCCTAACGATACCTTCCCTTCTTCAACACTACATACATATGTATGTATGTATGTAACTCTGGTTCTGCTTCCCTGGGACGTCCCCTTCTCGCCATGTCGTCAGATACAAATGTTGAAACAATAACCAAGGTAATACTCAGGAGGCAGTGCCTGGATGTCGGGATATATATGTACTTGCTCCACTCTCAGGGCTCTGCTGCCTGAAATTTTAAGCATTTTCAGGTGTTTTTTTCCTCATTAAAATTGCGCAATTGTACGTTGTACACACTCTATTTTCCGCACATTTTAATTCAACGGAAAAACTGCGGAAAACGCAGTGGACACTCACTGCAGTTCCAAAAGCCACTTTTCACTCGTGATTCATTCGGTGAATCACTCATGGCATGTCCAAATCCTGTGGTGACTCACTGGTGAAACTCCAGATGAAATTTGTATGGGCATGTCCGCTTTTGAAATTTTGAAATACACTTGTAGCAGTGTGATATCACATAGGCCTGGAAACAAAATTTGGTTGCTCAAGCACTTATAGTCTCTGAGATCTAGCCGCTGATGCTGATCAAGAATATATATACTTACTAGCGGACCCGGCGAACGTTGTATCGCCCCATTTTAACGCCTTCATTGATTCATTCATTGATTAATCCAACAGACTTTCAAAAATTGGCTTTGCGATTTATTGTATGAATGCAGCTCTCCAGCGATTTGATCTTGAATAAAAGAATTCAAGCTATCGACATCCTTCGTCTCGACACGTCTGTCGATTTTCCGACAGTAAACAAATTTTTCAGTTGTGCCTTTTTATCCGTTTGTTCCACATGAAAAATTGATTAAAAAATATTTCAGAAAGAAAGTGTTTATTATTGTAATGCTTTATGATAAACAACATTCTTTGTTTTTATACCCGTGCTCAAAAAAGCGTTAAGGGTATATTAGAGAAGGAATCGTTTCCGACCCCATAAAGTATATATATTCTTAATCAGCATCAATAGCCGAGTCGATATAGCCATGTCTGTCTGTCCGTCTGTCCGTCTTGTTGAGCGGCTAGATCTCAGTGACTATACGAGCTAGGGCAACCAAATTCGGTTTCCAGACTCATGTGATATTACACTGCTACAAGTGTATTTCAAAATTTCGCCCCGCCCCCTTTCGCCTTCACAATGGACGCAGTATCATAGAGAATGACCATATCTACCAGTTTGCCGAATCTGAATCAGGTCGGATCATAATTATAGTCAGAATGAAGAAATTAATTTTCAGTTGCTTCCCCCGCCTCCTTCAGATAGAGACCCGTTACTCATTCTCTTTCTCGCTCGCACACTCTGCCTGGTTATGTTCGCGAGCGCCCTTTAGCGGAGGAGATGTAGAATCTAAATGGTACATCTATAATCTACATGTTAGATGTAGAATATACATAGTATATGTAGATAACAGATGTAGCAAACAAATTTAAAATGTAACATTACATACAGTTGTGTTCAATGAAATAGTAGTGCCGCACCTCATCACTTTCAAAACTCTTTTTGAGACACTTGCAGTTATCCATATTGAACAAATGATACCTTTTTAAATAGACTGGACTGTTAGCATTAGAAAACCGAAGAAATATCAATACATTTGAATTCCATTTTCTTGTTTTACATGACATAAGCCGAATACCCATGAAATTTGCTGTTCAATGAAATAGTAGTGTTTTTTTAGAACATTGAAAAAAAGAAGGAATCTCAAATAAAAACCTATATTTCATGTTCTTCATGTTTCCTGAGCTTTCAAATTTAGTTTTTAATTAATTTGGTTTTCATTGCGAACTTTCACCGGCCGAACATGGGTCATTAGTCTCTTGCCAACGCTTCAAAAGGATTTGAGACAATAATCCATGAACCACTTGCTAAAACTTGGCTCTGGTTGACGGATTTTTAGTTGCAACAATGTATTTGGTATTCTCCCATAAGATTTCGATGAGATTAATATCCAGTTGGACAGTTGGCCATGGCAAAACGCCGATCTTTTCCGATAACAATTAATTCCTAGCGAGCTTTTATGGGTGTTTCAAGTCATAATCCGGTTAAAATATCCTTTTAGCAGAAATTTTTCAACTGTAATATGAATGATATATATTCTAAAGTATGCCTACATACACAGTTTCGTCCAAACCCTTCCTATACTCAAACGCCAGGCTAGAAAGTACTAGCTCATATGAGCTGGGTCCCATAA